AAAATTGTGGGTGCAATTGTATGGTTGAAATCCAATAGATTTAGTTGTTGGCACCTGATTAGTTGTTCTCTTATAAGAGTTAAACCACTTAGCTTGCATGTAACTATTTCTTCTCCATGGAGGTGTATGCATTTCCATAGTCTTCATTGAATCTTTGATAGCAGTGCACATCAACCTCACAAGCTTTTTCAGGTCTTCCACTTTAGCAACAAATACAAAAGGGAACACATCAAGCAAAGAAGCGTATTGATGTATAGGACGAGCTATTTCAAATTCAGCCATAAGTGATATTTCAACTATGTATCTATTTCCGCCATAATTCACATCAATGTACTCATAATCACCCGATGGAAATTTTCTATTTCTTTCCCACCTTGTTTTGCAAATACCTGTACACAACAATACAAATTCTTCTATCACTTCAATTCAAACAGATTCATAACAATTACTACAAAATTAAGTATAAGTAAAAAGTAGTTACCAGCATCAAAACCTCTCTCCCGCAACCGTGACATCACAAGGCGTTTGAATTCCGACGAAGATCTATCTCCACCGACAAGCTCATATGCAACTTCAACCTCTCTTCTTATCTTTTCTTTCACATTATCATAAGCAAAATCATCAAAAATCTCTTGTAATATCTTCTTTTTCTCCGAATAATCATACCACTCCAACTCTCCATCATCGTTATCATTAACAATAGAATCTTCTTTCACTGAATTCTTCTCCATGAACGATTTTACAAGATCTGATAAATCAGCTGACTCTTCACCAGCCGAGTGCTCGCTCCCACTGCTTTCGCATAACCTCACACGCGCCACCTCGTTACTTTCAAACGCCGCCGCTAACCTCTCGAACCTCATCGGAATATTCCTTCCCGTTTCTATCCTTATTCTGTTTTCAACTTCCATCTCTCTATAAATATAAATCTGTATGGCATGCAAAATAATAAAGTAGCAATAAATAAAGAATTATGAAGCTAAAATGATGAAATTGTGTTTAGAAAGAACGAAAATGACAAGAAAATGGAGTAAGATAAATAGAGAAACGGTGTCATATTTATGCATAAAGTCTCTCATTTATATTAAAAGCATGAATGAATCTAGTCATTAAGACATTTTAAATGAACTTGCCCACAAAAATGTCTAGATTCATTTTCCCTGTATTGAAATTGATTGACTGTTGTAATAAGCACCTTAAACTCTTATACCAATCCTTATCCTAATTTTAAATTATCCTTAATTAAATATAGGCGTGCGTAACCATTAATTTTTCATTAGCAGAAAATCCAAATATATAAAATAAATATTCGATTGAAAATCCAAATGAGAATATCATTGGCACAAAATGAGAATATCCAAATGCAAACCTATTATACCCAAAATTAGTTTAAGAAAATTAATGTATTTGATAAAATATTTAAATTAAATTTATAAAATTGTTTTGACTAATTATTATTTATATATGAAATAAAAAATATAACATAAAATAGTTGATTATTAAGAACAATGAAAATCAATCATACCATTTACATAATTGCGTGTAAATAAATTACTGTATAATTTAAAATTGAATATTGAAAAAAGAATTTAATTGAAGTAGATCGATTGAAAGAATTTTTATATTCTTAATAAATTATAACCGTTAAATTTTTATATATATTTAACTTTTTTTAATCACATATAAAATAATACTTATGAATAGTCGTGATGCATTGATGTATAAAATATTTTATCTTAAAAATATAAATTATTCTCTTGAAAAAATTTCAACCTTACCCTTATTTTGTTTAATATACAATATAGTTGTTTCCTTGGATCAAAATCATTTTATTAAGAAATTATTTTCATCTTTTTCTTTTATAATTATTTTGTTTAATATACTGTTTGTGTGCGTGCATGCGTGCGGGTGTGTGCGCGTGTGTGTGTGTGCGCGTGTGTGTGTGCGTGCATGTGAGTGTGTGCGTGTGCATGCGTGTGTGCGCGCGTGTGCGTGCGTGTGCGTATGCATGTGTGTGTGCGCGGGCGTGTGTATGCGTGTGCGTGCGTGTGTGTGCGCGTGTGTGTGTCTGTGTGTGTGTGTGTGCTGGTGTCGTGGTGTGGTGTGCTGTGTGGCCGTGTGTGTGTGTGCGCGCGGCTGTGTGTGTATGGTGTGTGTGCGTGCGCGTGTGCGTGCGCGTGTGTGCGTGCATGCGCGTGTGTGTCGTGTATGCGTGTGTGCGTGTGCGTGTGCGTTGCGTGTGCGCTGTGCGTGTGTGCGTTGCGTGTAGTGTTTCAATAAAATTGAAAGGAAAACTTTATTCAAAGCATCGCGAGGAAAGGTACAAAAGATCGATGAAGGAAATATTATTAATTTGGATATAAAGATCAATAAGTTACCATTTAACATCTTCATGTGGAAAGAATCACATTTTACTTCAATAATTACTATGGGAATATGAGAATCATATCTCAACTATGAAGAGGATTTATATCTAATCTCTTTGAAAAAAGTTTTAAATTGAAAAGTCAGGTGACAAAAATATTTGAATGAGGTTGAATTACTTTTAGTCTTTTGAAATTTATTTTGATATGCTTAAGTATATTGAAGCATTTATTAAAGAAAGAAAGTTTGAAAATGCAATGAAATAAAATCAAAATTTTTATATGAAAGTGGTGAAACTTTGAAAATTGATTTTGAGAGTTAAGTGAAAGAAGGTCTTTAGAGTACCTAAGAACACATAAGGTAAACATCAACAATTACAAGGATAACATATAAGGGTAAATCTTAAAAAAACAATGCATATATATGACTATAAAGTCAACAATACCATCATTTTCCTTGAATTAAAACACAAAGACCAACAAGACATCATTCCTCAACACATGACAAAGTGAACTCAAATAATCGAAAGGTAAATTAACAATTTAAAGAATTAACACACAAAATTTAATCAAGTCAATTGAAAATGTTTAGTAAAACAATTAACCAAAATTAGTTAAACTAAATAAAAATAATTACCAAATTTTTATCAACAATTATTAAAATACTAAAATAATAAAATAGAACGACCAAATAATATAATTAGTAAAAAAAATAGTAAAATAAAAAATAAAATAAAACGAGGTCACATATATTCGTCAAGAGGACATTGGATCCTTCCATAATTTTTTTATAATTTAAAAATCAAGAAATGTATTTTTAAACAATTAAAACAAGTCAAATAAAGTGAAAAATCATAAAAAAATATCAAATCGCAGAATAAAATTATGAAAAAATAAAAATTAGAAAGAGAAAAGTCAAAAGTATTTTTGAGAATTTCTTCACAATTTTAGAAGTTGAAATGAATTTTTTACGAATTTTTGAAGTTTAAAAAAATTAAAATATAAAATCAGAAAATAAAAATAAAACCAAAATAATGTGGACCATCTGATCAATGTCAGAACGCATTAGTAAGCTAATCCAAAGGATCAGGCGCGTTGTGCATGATATGGACATTAGTGAATAAACCACCGAATCATTTATTTAAAACAGATTTTGAAAAAAAATAGTTGGTGCGATATCATTAGCTAAAGGGAAGACATGTCATCATCTTCAACCTCCAGCTACGTACGAATTGCAGGTTCCATAAATTGTAAAATTAGAAGCTCGGGTCGGTGTCATTTGCTTCGTCTCATCAAGACGATTCTAATGGCACCCTTGCGAAAAATTTATATAAACTATAGCTCAGTCGATTTGCGAAAAAACAGAAGAAAAAGAATGAAAAGGGATTTGAAAATTAATGAGCAAAACTCACTTCCAGTTAAAAACTAACGATGTTATGAGTATCAGAGTGATGAGAGCTACATTGTAGTAACAAGTTTGGAGAAAATTTACGGAGAAATCTACCTGTCAAAGCTCAACTTCAGAGCTCTGAAACTTGACTTGGCTAGCACGATTTAGAACACCTCAAGGCTTGGTTCTTCTTCTGCTAGCTTCAATGAAGTTCAAGGATGAAGAATGAACAAAGAATTTGGATTGAAAAACAAGGGAAAAGTGAATTCGAAAACTCAGAATTGTGAGCTATGGAGAGAGTTTGACAGGGTGATTCTGGCTGTCCAAGCTTGTCTAAATGAGTGGGATACCATCCTCTATTTATAACTGAGCAAATGGAATGCTCAAGCGTGTGATATGATAAGATTTTGAGAGAATTCGTGTGAAGTTGCAAGCATGAAAAGTGTGACTCATATTTGCTCAAAACTCAGCTAAAACTTGTGTTTCAAGGTGCTAATTGCTTCTGGAAGGTTGTTAAGCATGATTAGAAGTAAAAACGTGCAACAAATTTATGATTAGAGGCCACATTAACTAATTTTCAATCTGACTATTTTGACAAAATCAATTTCAAGGTGCCAACTTTGAATCCATGGTGCACCAAACTCAAGAGTCTTCATTACATGATTCTTCAGGCATTTGAAAGGCAAGGTCACAATATTTACATTTGCCAAGAAAGACTCCATTTGGATAATTTATCTGGAATTTATGTCCTCTTGAAATCGTGAAAAACAAACGGATTTTTGTACTTAGAAATATTTATAAGTGTTGAACTTCAAAATGATCTATAATGTTCTTCAAAATTACACGACCTTCCACTCAAAATTTGATCTTGATATTTGAGGATGACATGAAGTATACCTCTTAAATTGAATTTTGGAATTGAAATCACTCAAAAATCACAAAAATTGAAAGAGTTATGGTCTTTGGAAGATGGTGAACAAATTTGGGAAGATTCACAAAAGACCTATAATCTTTTCAATTCTTCAACAACTTTCTAAGTATTTAAAGTCTTGCATATTGAAACAAGGTTATAGTAGTCATCCCAAAGATTATTATGGAAAAATAATGGGCTCAAGGAGATAAAAATTGACCAAGTTATGATCATTTAAAGTCAACCCCTAAAATTCAATGGCTTTTCAAGGAGACTTGTAATCTTTCTCAACCATTAGTGGGCCTTCCATTCAAAATTAGCCTTAGATCCCTGAAGAGAACTTGTTAAAGACCCTTTAAATATAATCAGGGCTTTGGAGTCAATCAAAAATCTCAACGAATGAGAAAGATATGATACTTATAAGTCAACAAACCCTAGCCCGGAGAGTGTCAAAATGACTTGAAACCCCTCTCAACTTTTGATGATTTTTCTTGCAAAATTAGATCTTGTCATGTGAAGAGCAATTGTTGTAAGTGATGATAAGAACCTATAGAAAAAAGAACCAACTCAAAATTTTGAAAATTGAGAGAGTTATGCACTTATGATCACTGAATCAAGCACTTGCTTAATTAGGTTAAACTTGTTGAATCAACCTTGAATCTTTTTGAACTTTCTTGGCAAAATAAAGCATGATAGATCACAAGAGGCCTTAAAATGATGTGGTCCTGAAGCACACCCAAAGATGGAGCTAAAGTCTCAATGAAAATTATTGAAGAAGGCGTGGAAATAAACACATGAACCTATGAATCTTCTTGATGAATGCCACTACCAACTTTGAGGAGAATTTGACCTAAATAAAGTGAGGGAGCTCTTTAAACCAAAAATCATGGATATCATATACATGTCCTTGAAGCTTTAGCTCTTGCAATCCATTGAAGAAACATTTAATTGAGGACCACCCCTCAAACCCTAGGTTAGACGGTGAGATGAATGCAATTATGTCATCACCTACAATATGAACATTCAAAGAGACATATATACATACTTTGATGTTAGTTAAAAGAACACATGTATAAGATACACACTTCAAGGTGCTTCGTGATCTCTCAAGAGCAAACTTAAAGATAGGATAAAGTAGAAAGAGAGAACCAACCTTAATGTGTGTGTCTTGATGTATTGATGATATAAGATGATGAGAGATCTTAGAGCAAAAAATTGGGGTTTAACAGCTGCCCTTATTTAAGTGTC